TTTTTTACATTTTTCCCTGTATCTCAGATGCAAACTTCAAATATAAAAAAGCTGTACAAAGCTTGTCAGACTACAAAAGCTTCCAAGTTCCACCTTTTGCTTTCCATTTGCAGCAGCACATAACATGCCTGAAAAAATGTAAGAAATGAAAGCCAGCAATTGAAACAATACTTACCAGAACTGCTGGCTTTCTGTCTCTCACTTCTGAGCCAACATGCTTTTCCACGTTGGATTTCTACTGATCCAATTTCCAATCACTCATCTGTCAGGTCAGCCCAACCTAACACCAAAAAAAAAAAAACAGGAGACAGACACACTGGTATGAAGAATAATTTTTCCCTAAAACTTATGAGAAATGATCATTTACAAACTTAAAAAAACATGCCTTAGCCCTGGTTTCTGCACACCTGCCAATCAATTCCATCAACAGATTCAAGTCGCATGCCAAGAGCACCATTCATCTTCATCATTGAAAATTTAAAAAAAAAACAGAAAAAGAGAAAAAAGAAACAAAAGAGATTAAGTAAACTTATAGGTACGAGGAAATGCAACATATTACCAACTATTCAAATTTACAAGTAACTCGTGCTCAAACATAAGCAACCTAGTCCATATTCTCAACAGCCCAACTTAAGATTATAAACCCAGTGATAAAATCAAAGTCACAGCATTATGTAAAACCTTGTGAATTCCACCTTTCCTTACAATCTACAAGTTGGACTGGAGAATATGCATAAGCAGTTACTAACAATTCAATGCTAACATGAAATAGTAGCATTTAAAACAAAATTATGTAAAGATATTAGAAAAGGAAAAAGTTAACTTATATCCAAAACCTCTGACTCCTGCAATATTCCACCGCTGTGCATATGCCCATTTTTCTTCAGAAAGGGTTCAGAGTCTGCATCACACAAGTCACCAGGAGAAGATTCCTGGTTATTATTCACTTCAATGCTACTTCCATTATTCCCCTCACTGCTACCTCCTGATTCATTTCCAATATCCTCACATGAACCAACCTCACTTGTAATGGATGTGATAACACTGGAACTTGAGGCACATCGAGCTTCTGTTTTACCTTGTTTGATCTGGGAACTCTCATCAATCTCTGTCCATCTCAACTCCTGCCCACTGGATCCAGGCCCAGCATCACAGCTACTTGATGACAGACCTAATTGGTCAACATTGACCTGACATGTTTCCTTCACTTCAGCAACTTCATTCTTTCCCGGTAGTTCCGATGCCAGGCATGCCCGAGGAGAACCACTAAACTTATCACTAATGACATCAGGAGAAAACATATCTTGCTTTTGAGGACTGATAGATTGCCGTTTCACTGACATATCCTGCTTAATATCTACCTCATCAAGATCCTTTTTCCTCTTAAGATATCCTCCACCAGACCCTGCTCCACATGCATCACTACCTCCAGGAGATGGTTTATCAGACTGCTGAAGTGTTGATGGCCTCGAGTGACGAGTTCGTTTGTAACCATCAGGGAACACATATGCAGGAATCTGCTTTCTACGAACATGAGAAACATAGATTTCCATCCCTGGCTTCCAAAACATGTACATATTTATTGAATGCCTAAATTCATCAACTGTCCCTCGTATATCAAACTGCTGGCCTTCCTGAATCACTTCCCCTTGTTTTCTCTGCAAGCCCATAAAGAAAGCACAGTGTGCACATGGTTTGGATGAATCTTCATATTCATGAGGATAAGGATGGCACTGCAACTTCCCATATGTGTCACGCTCAATCTACAAATGAAAAATTGTAAAAGGCTCTGTGAAAATGAGATAAACATTATATTGGTAGTTCATCGTCTTTCCAAGAATATCTGAAATTCATAGAAAAACTAACTTCAGTATGATATCTCTTTTTAAAGTATAGTTCCGCAAGACAAGTAAATATTACCATCAAAGTAAGCTGCCTCAACCTCGATTCAACCCAGCCCTTCCAAGCACGTAAATCATCACCATCAGCGGCAACTATGTCAACCTGCAGATAATTTTTGTAGCTTTCGAAGAACAAGTACGGTTCAAACAGAGAACTCCACTGGACCTTATTCAGCTCTATCTCCTGAGTTTAGAAATAGAAGAGTTAAGGATCAGTGTCAACCACAGAATACCAAAAAGAGGTAAGATCTTCTTTGTTTACCTCGCATATCCGGTTTGCATATTGGAATTGCTCCATCATAACACGAAGGGTACTCGTTGACACATTGTAGCTAGAATTCATACATGGGTAGGCTGGGGTTATGATAGGCATAACATGATTCCTATCACGAGGATTTTTACGAGGATCCCAGACAGAAAATCCAAGTTCATCCTCTTCAATTGCACATAGCATAACAGGATTAGGCCAACGCCATTGTGTATAAACCCTAAAAAATCTTGACACGAGCATACTGGGAACCGCATTGGGATAAAGCTGGCAAACCCGAGCTACAAGAAGGGCCCAATTTACACCACCAAGAAATCCAGTCACCTAATCATGCAAAAGAAAGTGTGAAAGAGAATGATAAAAGAACACATCAATCATTACAAGTACAACCAGAGGAAAGGACTCACATTGGAATAAACACCACGCCGTCTTGCCCAAAACTTTAAACATCTAAGTGTCATGCGAAAATGCTACAATTAACAACAGATTTTAGATTCATTTGATGAGGGAAAACACTAACAGTTAATAAGTATCTAAAAGGAGATCAAAGGAAACGGTAAACCAAACAAACACCAAAATAAACTATTCAATGAGAAATATTTCACCTCAACATTTGGAACAAGCTTAAGAATCTGATCTGCAACCCTGCAACCGTTAAGACTTCGAACAGTTGGCTCATCAACATTGTACAGCAAAGTCACATCAGATATGTCCAAGTCCTGTTGAAGAAATTAGCACCTATCAACTTACACCATTCAGTTAGAACACAATATATCCTTTACCAATCACCATACCATCTTGATAAGCAAGCAGACCATAAACATAAAAGAAGCAGGGAGACGGTCAAAGCCAGAAGGAAGGATGAAAGAGACAGAGAAAGGAATTAACACTTGTAAGAGCAAATTCATAGCTACAAGACTCTCAGATCATGGATAATTTTCACAATTTTATTTTATGAATTAGACATTCCTTACCAGGCTTGTCTCAATAAACACTTACTAATGTATCGAAGACAAAATAAATAAGATGAGGAAGAGAACGGGAGAGAATTTCAAAACCTCATCTGCATAAGCTCTTACTTTGACTTCACAAAAGGTTCGGACATTATTTTGAAAGAACTGTTGTCACTAGAGATGCATTGTATAATCTACATTTTAAATATAATTGCTCATATAACAATTAAGAAGAAAAGACAATATGCACTTACTTCAGGTACCACCAAATGGGAGATACTTGCATAAAGAAGATCAACGGATATTCCATCAAACTTAAATTTCATAACAGGGACGTGAGCATCGGGAACTGGTTGTAGTTCTGTAACTTCTTCCATTTCTGCCAGGATGTTATGCAATACAAAGAAAAAGTCTTCCTGTTGATAGTGCACAAAAAACATAATAAATTTAAGACCTCACATTCACAGGAAATCCAAATATGTTAACATGAATTCAGCACTCACCTCCCGATTCACATATGATGGTCCAATGCATAAAGTATCTATGTCAGCCCCAGGACCATGAACCTGAGAAACGTAAATTTAAGCTTGATTTCCCAATGATAATACAATAAAATAAAGAAATCAAAGAAACAACCACGAGACATGTAAGACACAGGCGAGATGAAAAGGCAGACAATGTCTAGTTAAGAGTAAAAGCAAACATCAGTTTAGTTACCCCAAGTCGATAAGAACCAAATGTAAAAATGATAGCATTTGCATCCTCCACCATCTGCTCTGTGTACCCCCTCAGTCGAGTAAGCTGCTTCACCCAGTCTTTTACAATCTAAGAAAAAGCAAGATATATCAAAGACAAATCCAAGCAAAAAGAAGAACATCAAGACATTTTTCTAAACACCACAATCTTCAACCCTAAAAATTGTTAATACTATAAAAGTTCTTGAACACAAAAAAAATGTTTTATTTACATGCTCAAAGAAAGAACAATTTGCAAGGTCATAACCAACCATTCATCTAATAACAAGCTCCTCTGAAACATCATTTGCTGGCAACGGATCAAGTAGATGAACAAAAATATACAAAAACTCAACTGCACCAAAAGCCTGACCATCGTCATAATTTCAGCATAGAATTTCTTTAATTTCAAATCGTCCATGAACTAGGGGGAAGCAGTTTCCCCACATCGAATTCCACTCCCAATCCCAAATCAAAATCACAACAAATGCCTAGTTTTCAATTTGTATCACATCCTATAATATTTAACTCTAACAAAAAGCCTTAAAAACCTGGACTTTTCAAGACACATTATGGTTTATGTATTCTGAGCATAAAAATATAGCAATGCAGATAAAATCTATAACCCTTATTTATTTCGGAAAAGGGATACCCAGAAACATCTCATCGTATGTGTACTGAACTGTAGTAAAAAAATACAGTTTCTAGACATTATAAGACTGTAAAGAATAATACAAATTTCACTAATCCTGATCCGAACCAAATTCTGAAACATTGATCTATGTTGTCACGCACTTCAGAAAATTTAAAAAATGTCAAATAAGTGTCCCCCATATCAAGAAGCATATGCCTATGCTAGATGGCAAAACATGCTTTACATCGTGCAAAACAACAGCATTGATTAACTTAAAAACGACTCAAACTGACAAATAAGCATGAACTCCTCTGTAAATTATAAGGTCCCATATAGCAAACCCAGAAATTTACCTGCCCAATTCGACCCAAAACCTCTTTTCTCTTAGTAGATTCTTCTTTGCTCTCATAAAGTCCAACATCAACTAAAAACTGAAACATTCGACAACCAAATTTGCAAAATTTCAAAACAAGAAAAACACAAGAATGTCCATAAATGCTTCTGCTAAATTTGAGTATCAAATAATTTAATATACAAACCTTCTCTAAATCGCGGCTTCTCAGCAAATCAGCCTCCGTCGGACCCGCAGTCGATATCGGCTTCGTTACTCCCAACTGCTTCGCCGGCGGCGGAGTAGCAGTCAAACCCTCTGACCTCACCATTCTGGCACACCCCAAAGAAGAAAGCGATAAAATAAACGAGAAAAATAAAAGCTCTCGATTAAAGAAAAGAACCAAGAATTAGGTTCCGAAATCGAAACCCTATCTTTTCAAAAACCCTGTAATAACATGAGAATCTTGGACTCATAACAAATTTGAAAGAGAGATCAAGAACCTGCCTTTCGATCTAGGTGACACAAAAGAAGAAAGATTATCACAAGAAACTGAAAGAAAATCGATAAGAGCAAGAGA